GAAATACTATAATGAGCCGCCGATGGCCCGCAGGCCACACTTTGGTCACCCCTTGTGTAATAAAGCAGCACTTTCCATTAGTCTTATCACGTATATTCCAGTTAAAACACACAGCAGAGTTTGTGGCTGTAACATAAAATACTTTCTCCCAATGTTTGCTTACATTAGGAGAAAAAGAAACAAGCAGTTCCTCCGTTTCCTCTCACCCAGCCAACAAATATTTGCTATAATAGAAAGAGAAAAAAAGGAAATTAAAGAGCCCGTCCTACTTCTTTACTTCCAAAACAAACAAAAAAAACACACAAAAAAAAAGACGGGAGGCATGGAGAGGACAAAGATAGATCTGAAGGTAGAAAGAGGAGGTGAGAAAACATAACGGCAGAGAGGCTGAAAGGGATTTATATAGTGAGTTATGCAACTAAAAGGCGCCTGTGATATCAGCGCTCTGCCTTCACTGGAGAAGATGCTGCTTTGAAACAAATAAACCCGTCGTACGTCATCGCTCAGCGTTTTGACAGGATCTGGTGTTTGGGTCGCAGCTGACTTCAAACATGAGAGAGAACAAGTTGTTCTCTAAACCAAAGGTGACAACGTTTACTTCAGGTGCTGCAGTTCATGTGAGATACAGAACATTATAATTTTCACTGCACAGACTTTCATCTGGCAGGTGATATCAGAGCTTGCCTTCATCTACTAAAAAAATGTGAAGCTCCAAACAGCTCAATTAATCTCTGTTGTTTTTAAAGGTGGATATTAATTTAAGAACCCAAAAAAGCGTTTTTTCATTCAGACACACTAAAAATCAGAAAGTAGGTACGTGTATGGAAGACGACATGACTTTAAATGTGATTTACCAACTGGAGTTTATTTAAATTTTGATGTTTTAACATATAAAACGGCAGTTTTTGCAGGTGTAGACTCATTCAAGGAAACACTTCACATTTCAGAAATTCCTGTATGATTAACATTGAATACGCCTCATTTTAAAAGTAGTAAGAAGTATAATATCATCAGCATAGTATTTACAGGAGATATGTTAAAGGATTAGCTCTAATGCCAACTGTCACATATTGAAATCTTCATCTTTTACTTGTGTCCATTATTGAGCTTGTCTCTGTCAAATAAATAAATGAAAAGATGATATATAGAAAACCAATAAGGCAGAAATGAAATGGGACCAAGGACACGCCTCTGTGGAACTCCATGAACTCAAACAAAACCTGCAAATAAGCTTTTTGTTGCAGTCAGTTGTATAAATTTGGAGTTATATTTTGTTACTGAGCAAAATGTGACATTTTTGTATAAACTTGTTTAATTATGCAATATTTAGCCTAAAACCGTCTTTGAGCTGCCCTCTTCTGGTTGAGGGGTGGCTACTGCAGTTGAATTTTCCTAAATGTAAAAACATCTCACTCAGACGCACAAAGTAACTTTTCAGCAAAATATAGGTGCTTGTCTTGAGTAGATAATTCCTTTATATTGATGAAAAAGTACAAGTTCCATTGGTAAATTATTTCACTAATAACATGGAAAAAATGTTTTGCTACAAGCGAAATAATCTGCGAGTGCATCTAGTACTTTTTAAATCAGTATTAAGGAATTATATGCTTTAAAAAGCTCCTAAATTCTATATATAAGTTAGTTGTGTCTTCTTTCAAGTGTACAAAAGATTAACTAGAAACTAGACAAAAACACTTAGATTTTTTTGTTTTTGCAATGTAGATTTGTTGTTTTTGAAAATAAAAAATAAATTGCCAGAAAAGTCTTAAAAGCTGCTAAATATCGCAACAAAGTCACTAAGATAGCAAAAGTACTCCGAGTTGGGAGTACAGCCCCACACTTGACCACGCCCCCAATTTTATTAGGCTCCGCCCACTTTTTGTGGAATTTTTAAAATTTATCAGAGTTACGCTTTTAGTTCCACTTTAAGATTGTCTGAAATTCAACTTTGTAACAGAGATACTTCCAAATGATAAATATAAAACAAATATACCCAAAATTGTAACAAAAAAACCTGCCAAACATTTTGAGTGACAGCAAATCGTATACATTTTCAAAGGTTGACCGTTACCAAGACTGTGGATTCTCCTGCATAATGATACATTAAAAACTCTGGGGAAGTGACCTGGATGCTCCTAAAAACCCAGCAGGATATGTTATGCTGTTGTAGTGAAGGACTGGACTGCAAATGAAATCAAAACCTTCAGAAGACATGAAAACTACTGAACAAGACAAATGTCTAACTTCCTTGGAAGAAAACGTTGGTTTAGACATTAATTATTCTTTCTCAGCATTGGCTAATTAGTTGCTAAAATAACAGCTAAATAGAGGAAAACAAAGAAAAACAAAAAACAAAAAGCGAGTAAAAGCAAAGACATGCACTATGTAAAAAATTTAGCTCATCATAAAACAGAGGAATTTAATTGGTTTAAATATTTTTTTCAGTGAAAAGAAGCCAACTAGAGTCCAATTTAAAGTGAATTGCAAGTGTTTTATAATCCTTATCAACTGAGATGCTAAAGGATGAATCTCTCAATTGGAATGAAATCAAACGGATCAGGCTCATCATATTACTTCGACCTTTCTGATAAAAGAAGTCAGATAAAAGTCGACTTCTCTGTATTCACTGCTGCACATCTTTGCCATAAAAAGTCATTTTATGCAGTTTCACTCTCCTGCTTTCAGCCTGTTGGCTCGTCACACCCCAGAGACTCCACCCTGCGATCCTCTTAGTGCTCATCGGTGCATAGCTGCACACACACACTCACACCTGCAGGCACACACACTCACACCTTCCCACCAATCAATACTAAACTTACAGAGGTAGCTTTTTTATCCAAAACTGAGCTAAGCTCCCAGGGGTGGCTGGTGCCACAGGCTGTGCAGGCTTTTGGCTTATTACGTAACATTGTAGAGAAATAGAGAGGATATTAAAGGTGTGTTATGGGAAAATGTGACCCTGGAAAGCATCTTGCTTTACTTCTGTTTTGAAGATTATTTTGTACAATTCAACTGAAAATAAAGAATGTGTGAAATATTGTAACATGTAGTAAATTTATCCAAACTAATTTTAATAAAACTTGCCACAGAATTCAGCTTTCTCAAGTTCACACCTGCCGCTCATTAAATGACTAATTAATGGGGGGATTTTTTTTTATTACAGTCTAAAACTAACAGCAATCATCTCAGCTGGGGTTCATTTTTTACCATGTTATTCATTAATTTATCTATGACAAAGTTCCAAATTAAACATTTAGTTAGCAAGATGAATAAGCTAAGTATTCAGTTTAGCTTGTAGTTAGCAAGCTAAATGTTTAGCTTTTAGCTAATTAGTTAGAGTGAAGTTAAATATTTGACTTGTTTGCTATTACTGAGTTAGCAAGCCAAATATTTAGCTACAATTTAAATATTTAGTTTGAAGCTAAATATTTAGCTTGCGAAATATTTGGTTTGCTAACATTTAGCTAGAAAGCTAAATATATAACTTCAATCTGAATATTTAGCTTGCTAACTAAAGATTAAGTTTGAAGCTACATATTTAGCTCACTAAAAACATAAGCTAAGTAACTAGAGAACTAAATATTTAATTTAGTTAAGCTAATTATTTAACTTCAATCTGTCGTTAAATATCCCTTTCAATCTGAATATTTAGCTTGCTAACCAAAGATTTAGTTTGAAGCTGCATTTTAGCTAGCTTAAAACATTTAGCTTGCTAACAAAGTATTTAGTTACTCAAGTTTGAAGCTACATATTACTCAAGGAAAATTTAAAATTACAGTGTAGTAATTTTTTTTCCCGAAAAAAGTTGCTCAAATAAATGTAACCAGCTACTACACTGAAAAAACACAATGGAGTTCAAAATTAATTTGTTAAATGTAATAAAATTTAATTTATTTACGTCTGTTTGTCATGACAACATAATAAACTTAATGCATTTATTTGGATAAACTCAATTATTTTTTTTAAAGTTGAATCACTCGTTTCCTTTTTTCAGTGGGTCACTTTTGACTAAAAAGTGGTGTTGCTTCCGAATCAGGATTAAAAATATAATTAATTGCAACTTTTAAACCATGACATTTAAAATTACATCTACTGTTTTTGCCAAAGTTCAAGAATTTTGTGATTTTACAGTTTTTTCTTAAATATCTTGAGTATTATTTGTGCAAAATACACATAACATAACTACAGATGTGTGGAAGAGTTTTTTAAGACTTTAGATTCATTTCTTTCACATGGGAAAATCTAAGCTGATAAAACACTTGGTCTGATCAAAAGCAGTTCTCTCAAACATCAGTAATATCTTCAGTATTTGAGCGTCTTGAGTGTGAAAATTGGGTCGGAAGTGCTGCAGATAAAAAGACTCGATCACATTTGGACTAATTCCTCATTGGTGTCTCCGTCTTTGTTTCCGTGTCATTTCATCATCTTGGAGATTTTTATCTCTTCCATCTTTCATGTTGGAGGAAAAGTCGGAAATTCGTGCAGCTGCAAAAGTATTTCTGTGATAAACTGAAAGATAATCCACTGAATCTCAACAACATGTAGAAAAACAACAACATGTAATATATTATAAACTTTCTTTTCAAGGGCCATTTTTAAGACAATATTGATCGATTCAAATCCATTTAATTCTTTCTCGCTCACAAGTTAATAAAAAACTCTCATGAAGATGACAGCGCTTGTGTGTTTTATTTGTTTTTCTCTAATTTCTGCTGCATTGATATTCCTCCGTTCTTTTCCGTTGGAGAGTGTGGGCGGCTAAGCGACACTTCAGCTCTCCCTCGGTTCCAGGATAAAGAAGTCTTTGTGACCTGGACGCCGCTTCAACCGCTGACGTTATCAGTACATTAATTGCATACAAGAAAGCAACAATCCAACATTTAAAAATGATTTATAAACGTCAAAGCTGCTGCTTCTTATCACGCCGAGCGGTTTAATTTAGTGAAATAAATGCAGCCGATATCGATGAGTGCGAGAAGTGGTGGACATGCAGCACTCACCATCCTCTTTGCATTCCTCCGGCGGCTTTGCCTTCTTGGCGAGCCTCGGGTCGAGCCACGACGTCGTCTTCGTGTTGTGGCTGCAGAGACAAACCAGAGAGCGAGTGAGCGGGACTGCGGTCGGCGCTGAGAGAGAGGAGGCTTCCAACAAAGAGGCGAGGCTGGTGGACTCCTAACTCGGCTCTTCAGAGAGGAACGTGCGCCTCCGAAAAGTTAAAAACACTCAACGGGAACTGAAGAGGAATCATTATTTTTAATTAGCGTACTGTCGCTCATTAGGAGGCAGAGGAAGAGGGTAGAAGAAGCGACAGATGGGCAGATAGATCGATAGAATGATTAGGAAACATTTTCCAGAGGCTAAATAAGCAAACTGGACTCAGGTTAGCTAGTAGCTGCATTTACACTGACTGTATAATAGCACAATTTGAAATTTTGAAAGTAAATTTGCTTAATGGAAACATGACGATTGCTATTGAAAAATGTGGTTTATTGAGCAAAACTGCAATGGAAACACTTTTTTCACATCACGAGACACATGATCAACAACCAGACGTTACCACCAGCAAAAATCACGAAGAAGTGAAATAATCCGCCAGTTGAACAAGTAACTTTTTTGTTTTGGTGTTTTAAATCATCGTCTCTCTCATTGCTGGAAGAACAGCTTAGCTTGTTCTTGATACATTATCTTGGTAAAACATCTTTTTTGTGTAGTGTCTGAGAAACAAATGCATCATATGTCGGAGATTTCAAGTGGCTGCAGTCACTAAGCTGTCAAACACCGAAGTGGAAGAGACCCAGGAGTTCTGCACTTCAGTTGTAGTGAGAGATTAAATGTCCTGTCCACAAAGGATGTTTTTATCCTTCAAACCTCGAGTAAAAGAACACATTTCTTTGTTCTTGTGGAGAATATATTGGTCTTAAAGACATATGATACACTGCAGGCTCAAAGAGGCTTTGTGTTAGGTAATAATACATCAGCTAAAATGTTTATAAAATGAAGTGTTATTAATTATTTTAGCACCTTATTTGGAATGAAAAAGCTGTAAATGTGACCCTTTATGCTTCCGTGAACAGGTTAAGCTAAATCTATGGACTGTAAAAAATATTTTTTTCTTAGATAATTAGATTTTAGTCAGCTCAGTTCAACATTGACTCAACCTTTTCACCCGCATGTGAAAATGGATGCCAACAAATCTGCAATTATACAATCGTACATCTTTGAAAAGCAGAAGTGAAGCCTTCTGCACAATCAACAAGACTGCAGCAAGTGGTTTCTGGATAGTAAGTCAACAACAAAGCACTTCCACTCGTCCATCAGCCATTGTACAGCGCCTACAGTGGTAAAACCAGCTTACCAAACATGCTGGAGCTCCACTTGGGGTTGCTAGGTAACGGGCGGAATTCCACTGGGGTTGCTAGGTAACGGGTCAGTGTCTGCTTATTTGTTTCTTTACATTCCAAAGGTTCTTGAAATGATTTGTTTAAAGACACCAAAAAACATCAAATTACTGCCCAAAAAAATGTCTGGGTGGATTTTTTTTAGAAACATTTGAGACCCAAATGAAAGTATAAAAAAGTGCAAAATGTGATTTTTTACATAACAGTTCCCCTTCAAATGTCACTAATAATGGAAGCTTTTATGAGCTCAATGTGGTTTTTATTTAGAAATACCAACACTGAGATATCAGAGCTGTATCAAAGTGTTTATGATTTGCAATAATACACACTTGTTCATCTTGGAACACGCTGTTAATTTTCCAGCAAAAACCAGTAAATGTGTGAAACCCAAATGTGCTGAGAGGCACAGAAGTAGCTTGGGGGAATAGCATGTGGTCGTGAGTCATTAAATCGTATTTTAAGGAAAAAATATTTGAGTATCTCAGTTTTAGTTCCACTTCTCTGTCCTCTACTGAACTGGACTGATGGATGAAACTGACGCTGGCTTCCCCAGAGCTAAAAATAGAAGACAAAGTGGAAGCTGGACGCACTTTAAAGGAGATAAATGAAGCTCCACCTTCAGCATGGAGCCAAGGTGGGATGCTCTTCCAGGTGAGCTTGTTTTATTTCCTGTTTGATTCTTCTCCATCTGTCCTCCTCTTTCTTCGTTGACTCATTTCCCTTTCTACTCTTGTCATCAATTGATATTTATAGTCAGCCTGCATCACTTCCTCGTCCCCCCACTCAATCTTTGCTGCTTTAAATCGCCATCGCTGTTTTTAACCTTAACTTTGTCAGCTCTTCTCTGCAGCTGCTTCACTTTCAGGCCTGTAGATAAATAAACTGATCTCATGTGGCGGCCAATCGCAGATAAGCAACGTCTTGGCAACAGCGATTAGCAAGCTGCCACTTCGGGGGGCAAAGCAAATTAATTGGGTAATGTCCTCGGTGGATGTGGGCCACAAGAAGTCATCTCCAGTGGGGGGGAGGGATTAAAAGTTTGCTGCTGTTGTTAATGAAGACAGAAAGTCGTCATGTATGGCTGCTGAACACACATTTCAAGCTAGTTTGAAGGATCCAGTCAAGAAATGACTCAGTCATGTAGCAAAAATTATGTCTGCTTGAACTTTATTAGTGCGTGCATAAGAACCAGTCTCTAAATACAAGCTGAATTCCCTTCACACCAATTCAAAAGCACACGACAACTCCATTATTCTTGCAGAATAAAGACTCACCTACAGTTTTACTGCAGCTGTAAAGCACTAACAACTGCAATGAGCTTTTTACAGCATAGTTCAGAAGAAGACTGGATTTCTGGGGACTTTTAAATCCTTATTAAAGCACCATGCACCCATTTATTTTGTCTCAGAGCAAGCATTTTAGCGAGAGTAGAGTGTAGCATGCAATAAAAAGGTAAACATTGGATCATTAAGAGATTAAGCAGGAAAAAAAGAAGCCAAGTGTACAGAGTCTGCAAAAACTGTATTTGGTGGAAAATACATTCTAAAAATGAGACAAATTTTTACAATTTGTCACTTTATTTCAAATTTATTGAGTTGGGTAAAATGTTCTATTTAAAAAAATCCTTTTTCACTAAATTTTTTTTGCCCCTTTGTTCTTAACATTAATGGAGGCAACATTTAAAAAGTATTAATCATCATGTAGTGGATAAATCTCTGAGTAAAGCTTCCATGCAATGCATTGGTAACATCCCTTTAAATTAAATACACTGATGAGTTTCTAATTTTTAGATATTACTTTCTCAGAAAGCACAGAAAGACAAACAGCAGATAAGGTAAATATTGAACATATCAAAGTTTTTCATAGTTTTATTATTTCTTATGGGGTTTTGTCACTTTAAATCCAAGCAAACATGCTGGAACTCTGCTTGGGTTGCTAGGTAACGGGCGGAATGCCGCAGGGGTTGCTAAGTAACGGATGGAATTCCGCTGGGGTTGCTAGGTAACGGGGTAGAGTCTGCTTATTTGTGACTTTAAATTACGGAGGTTTTTGAATGACTCATTTTCTAGACACCAAAAAAATGCCAACTTACTGCCAGAAAATGTCTGGCTGTATTTTTAAAGCTGTTTTTAGAAGCAGTTAAGATCCAAATGGAAGAATGAAAGTGTGTAAAATGGAGTGCAAAATGGTTCAAAATGTGAGCTTTGCACAAGTAATTTTTTAAAAGCAAGGACTTACTTTCACTCAAGTAAAAATGTTTTTACTTTTACTAGACTGCATTTTTGTCAGTTTATTTACACGTTAAGCACAGTGTTTGAGCAATTTCTCCACCTGCGTCTGATTAGTTTCTACTCACTCGATGAAGTAGACTTCTCCTTTCTCGGTGTAAGCCATCTCCCAGTTGTCAGGCAGCGGTCCTAGCTCGTCGTTCTCCTCTGGTTTGGGGACCACCGTCTTCGGGGACTGGCCGTCCTCCTGGGGAATCTCTGCCGGGGCCTCTGCCGGGTTACTCTGAGGTCCGACGTCCCCTGAAGCATCTGTGCTCTTGTCTTCGTGCTCGCTCGACTCTGAGGTGACAACAAGGTAAGGCAGAGTCAGGTTCGACATTCTCAGACGGAAAGGACAAGAGGTGAGGACAGGAGAGTGAAAGACAAGACAGGAAAGGCGAAAAAACCCCAGAGAAGTGACGGATTGAGGCATAAATATAGGAACGAGGGATTGGAAAGGGATAGGAGGCAGTGACTCAGGGGAACGGCAGGGAGGTTAACGAGACAGAAAGATGAATAAAGGAGAGGAGACAGTAAAGATTGAGACAGAAGCAGGCAGAGATGCTCTACTTTGAGTTGTGGTGCTGTGTGAAAGTGTCACAGGAAGAAAAATGGGAAGAGATGCCAAGTGTCTCTTTCCCAGAGGAGATCTGGAGGAGGAGAGCGGAGTGAGGGGAACAAATGAAAGCGAAGGGATTGAGAGATAATCTATGGGAGGGAAAGTGAGAGTTAGTGAACTGCTCAGATCACAGAGACCGCTGTGCTCTATTGATTCCCCTTCAGCTGTGCTGGTCAGACCACACTGTCCATCTACAGACACACACGGCTGCTACTGAGCCGAGAGCAGCAGCAGGAAAGCTTCACACCCAACATGCCCACAGGCGGAAGGTACTGAGCTTCAGTCAAGAAGATTTCCTCTCTCCTGCATTCGTTTATCTCCCTGCTTTCAGAGTCATTGGCATCATTTAGAGCAAAATTTGCATCACAGCCGCATATCGCAAGTTTTCCTTGAGATTACAGAAAGTTTCCACAGTTTATAAGTCATTTCCAACCTGACAAATTTGATTTTCAACTCAAACCCAGCTAGTTTTCAGCAGATCAGTGGGAATTTTTTTTGCAGCGTCAAATAATGATTCTTTTAGTTATCGATTAATCGGATATTCTGACGATTAATCGATCCATTGGATAAAAAACACTGGCACATTCTGCAGATTTTGTATAATATTACACTTTGTGTAATAGTTTTTATAGAGTTATTACTTAATTCTCCTAATATCACGACTTTATTCTGCTAATATTAAAGTCTCATTTTCACATCAACAACTAGTTCATGCTCTTTGTTCTTTAAAGCGACAGCTGTTCAATGCAGCATCAACAGTTTTCGTGATAAAATTTGGAAGAAATCTCCAAACAATCAGCCACATGCAACATTTTAATAAAAGTGACTGAATAAACTCATTATCTGTCGTTTCTGTTTGCTATTAACCAAAAGTAGAAAAACATTTCCACTTTTGTGTAATTTATTTATCACAAGTGCTACAGTCATCGTAGCAATCATCTCTATTATTGCATGTTTTCCTAACATTGTGCAGCCCTGGTGCAAACAAGATAATATAGTTTTGTTAATTTCTGTGTCAAAATTATTTTACTGTGAAAATGTAATATTTTTAAGAGTGACCATGAGAGTCACATAGCAACTAACTTCAGTGATTTTATGCAGAAAATGTTCTCTACTTATATAATTTGTTGTTTTGAACTAATAAAAGTAGCAAAATCCCTCAAATCACAGCTAAAAAACATCATGATTGATTATAAAACCTCTATAAACACTAACTACTTATTTTAAGATGATTTAAGATACTTTTTAAACATTTAGATTTAAGAGTAAAACATCTAAAATTCTGGAAAAGGGAAATACAGTTTGAATTTAGGAGTTCAGAATTAATACATTTATCTATGTATAGACATAATCTAAATATTCAACAGCTTACCTTGTTTGAGTTCATTATGATAAGAAATCCAAAATCTCATCCTTTGACCAGCAGTCCTCGCTCTAAAAAACCACTTTGGGAATATTAAAATCTTTCTCCAGAACATTGGATTCACCAGTTGATCTTCCTGAACTTCTGATTTTTGTGTGCTGCCTCTGTGAAGCTGCAGACTCCTCAGGTCATAAAATCCTCCTTACAAAGTCACAGGACCACAGAGCAGCTTAAGACTTAAAATAAGAAAAATAAAAACTCATAATGCCTCCTTTTATGATCCTCCGTTCATGTGATCCAGGGATGCACTCGGAGGCTTTCTGTGTTTGAGAGCGTCTGAGCGTCTTTGTTGCTCAAAGCTCTGATAAGCCAAGGTTTAATTGTTTGTGCGTCTCTATCAAGGGAACCTATCAGGTATCATCTGCTGATGTAACCTCGGGAATCAACAGCAAGTCTTTCAAGGTCTGCTCCCATTAAAGCCGGTGTTTATCATGATAACAGCCAGAACATCCTGTTCTGTGTAATAGTCATTGTATGATTTCAGATAAGTTTGAACAGCTAATAAAAAGCTGAAAGTGCATCACGATAAATGTGACCTATTATGTGTCTTTCTGCAGGTTACGTCACGCCTATGGGTGAAATAAGACATGTTCATTAGGGCTGTGTAATAATATCGATTTTGCGATATATAGATATTTTCTTTCCTAGAAAAAAATTGCTATTCATCCGCAAGTATTGTAACATCCAACTGTCATCTTGCTCACTCACTGCTTGCTTCGCCGGGAGAGAGATTAGGTCATCAGGCTTAGAGTGATTCCTTCAGATGTTAAGTCTCAAGGTTAAAAAGGTATCAGACTATTCAGAGCAGGTACTTGGTGCACTTTATTTACTTTACAAATGCATGTAAGCTACAGTTTGTACTGTTTCAATTAAAAGGAACATCACCACTTCTTTAATTCATTTTGTCCAGCTGTCGACTTTAAGTCTGTGTCCATGTCCAACCAGAGCCAGGTATTGTGTAATTGGTGCTTTTAATCAGTTTTCAGGTAAATTAATCCAATCCAACTCTATAACAGTCACAAAATGTCACCAAAATCACTCTGTACCTCTAAAATCTTTCAGAAAATCGCAAAATTGTATGGTTTGCTAAATATCCCAATATATATTGTATCATGAGCAGAATATTGTGCATCGTATTGTATCGTGAGATTATTGTATCACTATAGCCCTAATGTTCATCACTTTTTTCTGTCCAAAATCTTTCTTAGATAATGAGATTTTAGTTCAGTTCAACATTTACTCAGTATTTATTAGTCGCACATGAAAATGGCTTCAAACATGACCGGATTTATATAACCGTACACCTTTGAAAAGCAGAAGTGGAGCCTCCTGGACAACCAACAAAAATGCAGCAAGTGGATTCTGGATGGTATGTCGACAACAAAACACTTCCACTATTCCAACAGCCATTGTACAGGAGACACAGTGGTAAAACCAGCTGACAAAATGTGCTGGAGCTCCACTTGGGTTGCTAGGTAACGGGCAGAATTCCACTGGGGTTGCTAGGTAACGGGCCAGCGTCTGCTTATTTGATATAAAACATGTTAATTACATATTTCTGAGCATGTTTGCAGTCACAAGAGAAAATGGCTGTAAACAGATACACAATTTTACAACTGTACACCTTTGAAAAGCAGAAGTGGATCCTCCTGCACAACCAACAAGAGTGCAGCAAGTGGTTTCTGGATGGTAAGTCAACAACAAAACACTCGCCTAATCTGGCAGCAGTAAAACCAGCTGACTAGATGTGGTGGAATTTGGGTTGCTAGGTAACGGGGCTGGGCTTGGCTGGGGTTGCTAGGTAACGGCGCAGTGCCTGTGGAATGCTACACCAAAAAGCAGCAACTTGTTGCCAAAAACCAGCAGGTTGATCGTTTTTCAGCGCTAAGGCTGTTTTTAAAAGTCGCAGAAACTTAAATGGAAGTATTAAAAAGTGAAAAATGTGAATTCTTCATAACGGGTCTCGTTTAAAAAAGTTGAAAATTAGTTTTTCTGAAACTGCATTTTTTGTTTTCTAAGAACCACAATACCTGCCAGCTGCTTACTGGCCAGTTTTCATTGTTTTTATTTATTTTTTTATTTTTTTCAAAAAATAGAAATGAGAGAAAATATTTTTCAAAAAGTGTCTTATTTCAATTACCTGTTGGTTGAATGAGAATCAGAGTCAGGCTACCAAAAATATTTGTTTAATTGTCAGAATGTAGCCATAATTTTTGCAGAAAAAGTTGCAATTTTACAAAAAAAGCCTTAAAATTAGAAGAAAAACGTTGTTTAAATTAGGAAAAAAGCGCATAGTTCTCAGGATGAGAGTAGATCAGTCCCTGTAAATCTTGATTTTTGTTTTAAAGTCCTGCTACTGTTAGTATTTTAATTCAGATTACGTATTTCTTTTATTTGCACCAAAGTGTAACTTCACAAGATTCTCAACATTCCTCGTTTTAGTTTTTTGGTTGTTTTGTGTTGGACTTCTTGTAAAATTACAACTTTATTCTCCTAATATTATGAGTTTTTTCTTGTAATAAAAAAAAAAATTGGTACACAAGATGGCCGCCCTATACGTCGACATAAAAAGAAAAAAATTCCAGATTTCCAAAAATTAAATCTTCAAAAACCAAAACATTTGATTCATCGCCCGGCACTGAGTGAAGCTAAACGATTTAATTAAGACATGGATCAGTGTCTTACTTTCTAAGAAGATTACTTTGAGTTTGTTTTGTGCTAAATAAGTAAATAATTATGAGCTCAGATCTGTCAGCTGATCTGAACCAGCCTGCAGCAGCGTGTGCGTTTGCCCTCTGGCTACTGGTTCTCATATCTTCTCCAATCCTCATGTTTTGCTGCAGATGTAATTACTTTGGAGGTAAATCCATGTCATCATGTGAAGTACGTCAGCGTCGACGAGTTAAATCACCACTAACGGTTTATTCTTTCCTCCTTTAAAGAAACTCGGCTGAAGGGTGTCTGTTGCCGCTCCTGTTGCTAAGCAACCGCCTTTGAGGAAGCCGTCGCTACGACTTGGAGCCGCGAATCAGGACCGATGTGACAAAGCCGAGTCGACCTCAGCCTCGGCGGACGTTGTCGGGCTCTGACCTGGGGTGACGGCGATGCCGTTGCCGTTGACAACGGGCTTCTCCTCCTCCTCCTCCTCCTTGGGGGGCTCGACGCCGGCTCTCTCCATGTTGCTGACGGACTTGTTCCGCTTCCTCTTGCCCTCGGAGCTGGGTCTGGCGCCCGGCAGCAGCTGGTCTGTTACATTGAGCAGCAGAGCGCTGGGCTCAGCTGGAGGCTTCGGGGTGCCGTAGAAGTTTTCTGGGAAAAGCAGAGAGAAATTCAGATGCTGGTGATTAAACCGTTTCTCTGCAGGCGCCGATCAATCCGGGTTTTAGTTTACAATAGTTTTTGAAGGCAAAACCAATATTTATCTTTTAAACCGATTTATGACAGATTTATGATTTATGATGGAGTATTAAGGAAACGCTGAGAAAATAAAAAAGTAAAAAAAAATACAAGCATAAAGTCAAATATGAAAAGAATAAAGTCATAACGTTACAAATTTATTCTGGTAATATGACTTTTTTCTCAAAATATTACGACTTTATTCTCATACAAGTTTATTTTTGTAATGTTTTGAAGTTCTTGTAATACTACGATTTTATTCTGGCATTATTTTGACTTTTTTCATAATATTTTGACATTCTTGTAATACAACAACTTTATTTTCAAAATATTTCAATTTTATTTTCATATTATTATGCCTTTACTCTTGTACAAGTGTATTTTCACAATATTTTGACTTTTTTCTATTAATCAGAATAAAGTTTAGTAAACAACTTTGCTGCAAATTAAATAACCACGGCCAAAAAAAAACTTTGGTAATTTTTTTTAAAGATGAGAATATTTCCAAAAATCTTGCACTTAAATCACTAAGCACAATTTAATGTGTATTTATTTTAAATATTGAGCTGATGTATTGAAATAAAAGCTTTCCAGGCGTCATTAAACTTTATTAATCTTCATGTTTATTTTAGCTGCAGTAGTAATTAAAAATTAAACAAAATTAAATCAGTATTGTATTTCAGTTTCCAAGCTGCATTTTTGTTCAGATATTTTAGAAATACTATAAAAGTAAAAATAAAAAGTACTGAACTGTGAATATGTGAAGGACTGCTATACATTACTTCTGTTTGAATTCAGTAAAAAACACAAATTAGTTTTAGAATCGCTCAGAAAAATCTAGCCTATAGTTCTGATAACTATAATTTCCCATTTAATGTCATATTTAATGTCAAAACCTACAAAAACAAAACAATAGAAAATAAAAAGCTTCTCAAAAACCCAAGATTTCCAAACTCAGATATTTAGACGTGCCAACGGCTCTTGGACAACTTATTTTGTTCATGTTCTGCGATTCACATCAATTTCCAGACATGTTAGAATTTTACTTTGCTAAATTTCAGCAAATCTTGTACTCAATAATAAACGTTTTGCTCTCCGTTTTGTTCTCTGCTCATTGCCAAGTAGGTTTTTTTTTTTTTTTCCTGTCAGTGAGTTGATTTTGCATCGTGACTATGATTCGATTTGAGTTTTGGCAGCTTCTCTGAAAGACAAACATTTATTTATTCTCAAACCAAGACGTGATGTTTGGTTATTTCCTAGAGGTGGAACACAGAGACCTCCACAATGGTTGGCACAAATCTGTGCCAAAAGTTGCACTAAAAGTCTTAAAATGATTTAGTCAAAAGCAACTTGGAAGAAAACAATCTAACTACATACACATTTAATGCTAAATAAAAAAAAGAAAATCTAAATTTGTTATCACCAATTTCAACAACTTGCTTTAATTCTAATCAGAAAAAGAAACTTGTGAACTATTTTAAATTATGTTAACTCTAAGTGTTGAGGATAATTTCTTATTTTACTGTTGATTTGCACTTTATTGCACATTTTTACATCTATTTTGAGATGCTACACGTTGTTTCTGTTAGCATGAATGCTACAAATGTTCTGTAAATATGGATGCTACAAATACGACTACTCTTCATTACTTCTTTAAATATTAGTACAAATAAATTCAGTTACTTTTGTAAATATGAATGCTAGAAATGTTAATTCTGTGTACATGGATGCTAAAAATATGACTTTTGTAATTATGGATTCCATAAATATATTTATTTACTTTTGTAACTATGACGCTTCCAAATTTCTGCAAGTTTGGATGCCATGTTTTAACAAGGAAAAAAGTTAAAATAATTTTTTGCCTTTTTTTTTACTTTTTCCATGCACTCTTTACCTTTAAGTGTTCAACAGAGACATATCTGGTATCCATGGAAACGACAGACTCTTGGGCAGAAGCTAATCAGTATTTGAGTTTATCCTCTAAGGGCCGCAGAACAGATGTCAGTGATCCGGAACCTTAATCAAAAGAGACATTGTATGGAGCTCTGGCAGTGCCAAAAAATAGGGGTATATATTTTGATGGTTTAATTTTTTTTTTATTAGTAAAATGTGCCTACATTTGTAGTAACTTTAATTTTTTACACTGGAATTCCAAACATTACATTAGATAATTGGATAAAATAAAAAACTAAGTGTAGATATTTAAAAAAATTTAGACATGTAAAAAAAAAAAACAACCAAGCATGTTCTTTATTATTATTATTATTATTATTATTATTATTAAATGAAATAAATTAGCTTTAGTTTAACTCGGATGGCTCAATCTTTGCACAGGTGGATCTACTGTTTCTTTTTATTTACATATTTTTAAAGGTTTATATACTAAAATCCAGATTATTTTATGTTGCAGCCTCATTTTCTCTTAAACTATAACAGCTGCTGAGATACTTCTGATGGAGTCTCCCAAATGTTGGTTGTATTTTGGTACAAAGGTTTGAAATAGAGTTGACAAAAACTAAATTAGGCATCTTTAATGTAAAATTAATCAATTTATTTTTGTCTGTACCAGGTGAGCCAATAAGTGAGTGAAAAACTGAGGAAAAATTATGTTTGAAGGTTAATACAGGAGGAAATGTCTAAAATGTTGAACAAAAGAGACAACTTTATAAACCTTTCAATTCGAAAGATGGATATAGCTGGGGTTAGACATTTTCTATCAACTGGAATTGATTTTAAATGACATTTTTAAGACATCAGAGCTGTAATACACATTTTCCCTTAAAAGATCAAATGCTATATATAAAATCCAAGAGTGTGGAAAACTCAGCTCCAGCCATAGCCTTGTCCTGTAGTAGTTCATGGAAGGTTTGCTTTTAAGAAAGCTTATCTGCTCAGCTGCACCACGGTGCTCCTGGTAGAAAGATCATACATGAGAAGACGACGTGTGAAAATCCATGGGGATTATTTTAATGCACCGCGCTGAAGCATTAGCGACACCGCTAACACCGGCTGCAGGAAAACACCAGGAGAAGCCAGAGAGACTTAAAAGGAAAAAAATTAGCTCGTGTCCCACCGTGGTGGAAAAAACCATCGACTTTGGAAGACACAAGGCACCACAGAGGAGCTGGGAAGAGATTATTGGGACTGTTGGGATTAACAGCCCCACATAAATCCTGAAACCTGACGAGATTAATATTTGCCTCTGACAAGAAGGAAAGCTAACTTACATAATACACACACGCCTCATGTAGCTGCGGTTCTGGAAACAAATTTAAATACAACACAGGCAAGGATGTCACATTGAATTTCATTCTAGAAACTTAATTTCAGCCTGCTTTGTCCTTTCCAAACGGTTAACGATTAATCGTGATGAATCAATTATTCAAATAATAACAATAAAAGGTATCTCCTCGTTTGGCCTCATAGTTTTAGCTTCACCTGGTTTAAATTCTGGGAAAAATCTATTAAGCACCTTTCTGCAGAATGTGCCATTTTAAAAATCTGATTAATCAATTAATCATCAAGATAATTGATAGATTAATCGATAACTAAAATAATCATCAGTTGCAGCCCTGGTTTGATGATGTTTAGGTACATAGCTACATCAGGGAACCTGATTGTGTGCAAATTTAATTTTTCACTTAAATAGTCTCAAGTGTGTCAATGTTTTAAATCGATTAATTGATTAATCAATCGATTATTTGATAAAAGAGAAAATAATACTAAAACTAGCTTTTAAATAAATAAAGCAGCCAAGCATTGAGCTTATTAAATACATTTCTAAATCCAGCAACCTCAACCAAATGTCAAGATACAATTTTTATTAAATTTGCTAAATTTCCCACTTTGTTCTAAATAAAGCATCATCTGTATGATTTGTGAAGCAGAATCCAGAAAATGTCAAATATTTACATTATTTAGTGATGCTAAACATTTTATTCCTGTTTTAACCCATTTATTCAACCCAAAGGTGAAAACTGATTTTTATTTAGAAGAAAATAAATGATTTGAAGACCTGCAGACAAAGAACCAGCAGGTTTCTGAGTTTCCAGCTCTGCATTACAGTCAGAGCAATAAAGACATTCTGAGGCATTAAGCTTGTAACATAAACATTTCAGCCTTACAGGCAATTTATAACTGCATGTAAACCAAACACTGCCAGTGCATCTGTGCAAACATCTGCTTCACTTTGTCAGCGGAGCAAAACAACCAATTTCAGAACGAAGGATCGTCTTTATTGGTCCCATTGTGAGCGAAGCACGTCACATTTCCTACTCCTCTGGTTGTTTTCTTTTAAAATATACTTTATGCTTTGGGTTTTATGTTTTTCTGGTGCAAAGTTGCACATTTTTATTGTCACGCTCCCTTCCCATCCTGATGCCAGACACTGCTGCTCAGCTGGCTGAAAGAAAGCTGCGACACTTTGAAAACTAATAAAAGAAAATGGTAAAAAAAAGAGATAACACAAATAATAAAAAAAACAGTCATAATGTGGAAACTAACTGATCGTCCTACCATCTATGACAAGTTACAATCTACTCACAAATCACAGATAAAGACTGACAGCCACAGCAATTTAAAAAAAAAATTCACTTTGTTTTCCTTTGATTTTTTGCAAAAAATCATTCTTAGAAAGTGAAATTTTAGTTTGCTCACTTCTTACTAATTTAAGCTTCTTTCTTTAGGGTCTCTTGTCACTTTAAGTCCAAATAAGCTGCTGCTAGTCACGCCTTCCCAACCCAATATTTACACTCGCACACAAAACGGTTGCAAATAGAAATGCTGTTATAATCATACATCTTTGAAAAGCAGAAGTGGAGCCTCCTGCACAATTAACAAGAATGCAGCAAGTAGTTTCTGGATGGTAAGTCGACAACTTGTCTTTTCCAGCAGCCATTGTAAAGCGCAGACAGTGGTAAAACCAGCTGAAAAAAACATGCTGGAGCTCAGTTTGTGTTGCTAGGTGACATGCTG